GTGGCGTACGGCTTTTGCTAACCTTCCATCCTGGCATCAGCCTCCATCTCCGCAGGCTGAAAGACTAGTCATTTTCACGGATGGTTCGGCGTCGGCAGATCCTACCGACCTTCAACCGTGTGCATGGGCCTTTGCAGTTTTCGCAGAAACACGGGACGGTGTCACTTTTGTAGGCCATGCCGCCGCTCAGGCTTTTCAGCCAGGCTCAGCGTTCTATCTCGGCGAGTGCGCCGATGATGCACTCACAGCAGAGCTGCTTGCGCTGACTTGGGCCCTGAGTTGGGTTGCACAGTATGGCACAGACTTTGGCAAAATGCCTATCCTTTTCCGTTATGATGCAATAGGAGCTGGAGAAGGAACATTCGGTGCTGCTGCACTCTCCACAGGGCGTGTTACCCAAGCCTATACGTTTCTCGCAAAAACAGCCGTCTGTCTCCGCCAATATGCAGAAGCACGCTGCAGCTTGATGCATGAACACGTTCCGGGCCATTCTGGGGTCTTAGGAAACGAGCTTGTAGATGCCCTGGCAAAAACAGCCCGGAAACATCGTGTTGCTCCAGACGATGTCGTTCTCCCCTTATGGCTTTCCAAGTTCGCACATCACAGCCTTAAAGAATGGGCGTGGGCCTTCCTGCCGGGGCATTCCGATATGCCACGACCTTTTGCCTTTGAGGCAGAGGTTGGACAGGCCCAGGCCAACCCTCCACGTCCAGCAATCGCACCGAATTTTGGGGTCCAAAATACTAATCTACCCGAAGCAGAGGTCACGGTACACCTTGCATGTGTCAGCTTCAATGTTCTTACCCTCAAAGACCCGAAGAAGGGTAAATGCGCCGGTCAGCCAGCAGGTTTAAAGGTTTTAGGCCGCAAAGAGGTCCTGAAGCGCTCCCTTGAAGAGTTCCGGCCTGTATTTGTTGGACTCCAAGAAACTCGGTTGTGTGAATCTGCCATGCAGGCCGATTCGGATTATTTGATCTACAATGCATCAGCCACCGAAGCAGGTGTAGGGGGCTGTGCCCTGTGGATTGCCCGTCACCAACCGTATGGTGACAGCCCTGAAGGACGACTGTTCTTCCGCGAGTCGGATGTCACGGTTGTCAGCTCCTCCCCCAGGCATATCACTGTCAATATACTGACTGCGCGTCTGCGCATTCACGTGCAGGTTTTGCATGCACCTTCGGCCCATAATGTCCCTTTGCCTTGCCTTGCGGCTTTTTGGTCTGAAAGAACTGTTGAGATTCAGGCGCGTCCTGATGGTGCAGACTACCTTTTGCTCTGTGATGCCAATGCTCGGGTTGGTAGCATCACTTCTGATTCGATTGGAGACTTCGGTGGGGAGGTGGAGACGCCAGCAGGCTCTCTCTTCCACGAGTTCCTTACCGGCATCCATGCTTGGGCTCCTTCCACTTTTGAAAACATACATTCCGGCCACAGTGGCACCTGGTGTACCCCTCAAGGCCAGTGGAGTCGCCTGGACTATGTCGTTGTGCCCCTCCTTTGGTCCACTGGCGAAGCCTCTTCTCGGGTACTTTACGGTGTCGAAGCGCTCCAGAAGCGCGACGATCACGTTCCCGTCCTGTTTGAGGTTGACCTCTTTCAGCATGCCCCAGCTGTGGCATACGCAAGCCGGGAAAAACGTGTTGTGCGCCCAGAGGTCGGGCGCACTCCGGCGGCACGAATAAAAGCCAGAGCATTGCTAGCATCTGTTCCACGCGCTCCTTGGGCACTTGATGTTGATCAACATTACAAGATGCTAGTCGAGGCATGGTGCCAAAGGTTCAGCGACACAGGTACAGGTCCTTCAGGAGTTCCAAGGCAACCTTTCTTGACAGATGCTACTTTCGAACTTGTGCATTTTCGCTCTGCGCTCCGTCTATACTTGCGACAGGAAGCCAAAGAACGCGCCCGCAGACTGATGCTGATCTCCTTTGCAGCTTTCATTCGCAATTGGGAAGGCAGTGGCTTTCCATTTGAGGCCAGGGCATGCGCCAGTGCTTGGCTTTGGAGTCTCGACTGGAGCGAGGCGCGAGCCCTTTCTGCTTTGCATATCTCCACCAGCACTATACGGCGACAAGTCGCAGCTGATAGGCTCGCCTATCTTGATGGTCTTGCTTCACAAGCGGCTTCCAAAGACCTCAGAGATCCACGAGTCCTGTACCAGGCTGTTAGAAAGGCCTTCCCCACAGCCAGGGCATCCCGGCGCAGTGCATTCAAGCCCCTTCCGTCCCTGGTGCTGGCAGACGGGCAGCCTGCCCTTACATCGAAACAGCGCAACGAAGGTTGGAGGGCTCACTTTGCGGCTCAGGAAGCAGGTTTTCAGGTTACTCCTGAAGAGTACGTGGATCATTTCAGCACTTATGTGCCTCGTCAACCTTGGCTACTGGACATCCAGGCTGTCCCCTCGCTTCTTTGTGTGGAGTCTGTCATCCATTCCTTGCAGAGGAACAAGGCTGCAGGTGCTGATGCCGTCTCAGCAGAAGTGCTCAGAGCAGACGTCCCTTACACTTCCAGGCAGCTTCTGCCGATACTTGCCAAGGCGTCTTTACACGCTGTCGAGCCAGTGGCTTTTCGTGGGGGAGACCTCTTTCTCCTTGCCAAGCGTGCAGCTGGGGTTCTGGGTTGCGACGGGTACCGGTCTATCCTGGTTTCATCTGTTCCAGGTAAGGTTTACCACCGTTGCCTTCGCCAACAGCTCATCCCAGCGTTCCGGACATGCAAGTCTCCTTTTCACGGTGGCATACAGGCCGGACAAGGTGTGGAGCTCATTTCGCTCGTGGCGAAGACATTCTTTTCCTTTGCCAATGGGACTCATACCCATGCTGCTATGGTGTTTGTTGACTTGAAAGCCGCGTACTATCAGGTCGTGCGCCAGTTGCTAGTTGAGACCACGGATAGCGATGAGTCGCTTCTCCGGCTGTTTCATGCCTTGCAAATCCCTCCTACTGCCATAGGTGAACTAAAAAATCACTTGTCATCGGTGGTGTTACTTGCAGAGGCAGGGGTGTCTTCACATACTCAAGCGCTGGTGACGGACCTGTTTGAGGGAACATACTTTCGCCTCTCAAATAGCGCTGACATCACGTTGACTCAGCGAGGATCTCGCCCTGGAGATCCTATGGCAGACATTTTGTTTGCATTCTCGCTTTCTGCCTTCCTCAAGTCGACATTACAAGCCTTGGAAGCTAGAGGACTTCTTGCGTCTTGGGCAACCCCAAAGGGACGACCTTCGTTCCTTCCCTACCAAGGCCCTGTCCACCTTGCCTGTCCTGCGTGGGCTGATGATTTCTTCCTTCCACAGACAGGCACCTCCTTTGGTGGCCTGGTCGAAGGCGTGCGAAAGTCCGTCAACCTTCTTTTGGATAGGGCAGTTTCTGTCGGTATGACTATCAAATTTGGTCCGGACAAAACAGCGGTCTTGTTCCCAGCTGAGCTTTTGGCCAGACACGTGGACGTCCTTGACCAATGTGGCGGTGATAAAGGCCTGTCTCTGTCTCCCAGTTTGACGGACTCGTCCTTTCTTCCTGCAGTACAAGCGTACCGTCATCTCGGTGGTATCTTAACCTCCGATCTCAATCCTGTTCCAGATCTCCATTTGCGGTACTCACAGGCCATGGGAGTTGTCAAGCCTTTGCGTCGGCGCCTGTTTGGTGCGCTACGCTTCGAACTATCGGTGCGCCGCAGCCTACTCCGCTCACTCGCTGTTTCCCGATACACCCATTCGGCAGCAGCCCTTTTGTTTACTGCTGCTATTCACCGTCGTCTATGGGAGAAACAGTATGTGGCCTTGTGGAGGCCGCTGGTGGCCAGGACAGCAGTTGACTGTGACGCTCACAGTTATGCTGTACTTTTTGCAGCAGCGGCACCTTCTCCCCCCCTTGCCCTGGCCAAAGCAAGAGCAGGCTGTTTGGCCAAGCTCTTTACCAGGGGACCTGCAGAGCTGCTTACCCTCCTCTGGGACCACTGGATTTCTGCCCCCCACCGTTCGTGGCTGGCCCAGCTGCGAGAGGATTTCTTGGTAGTTTCTGCACTAGTGCCAGAGGCCAGCCAGTGTATTGCCAAGTCAGAACCAGTTTGCTCCATACTGGCTTCACATGAGGACGACCCCCAGTGGTGGGGACGCCAGGTTCAGAAAGCTTGTAAGGCGTTTCAGCAGGACCTTACGAAGTGGAAACAAGCACGCAAATGTCGAAGCCCCGGAGATGCTACCTGTGTTCCGCCTCGTTCCGCTTGCGCAAACACCTCCATGTCCATCTGGCCCGCACTCATTGCGTATTCTCTCCGGCCAGACACTACGCGCTTAGTGAAGTCTGCGCAGCTTGTATGAAGTGCTTCCCAGATATTTTGCAGGCTCAACAACATCTAAAGGCCTCCCCGGGTTGCCTGCTGCGGTGCCTCCATTTGTATCGCCCTCTCGAGTTAGAGGAAATCCGGAGGCTCGAACATTCTGTCAAGCACAGGGCTAAGCAGATCCGACATGGACATTGGCGGCAGTATAGTGCAAAAGGTCCTCCTCGCAAGGCTCCTATCGCAATGGGTCCCCGTTTGCCTACTGCCGACGAACGGCTTTGCGGTGCCGTTGCAGCAGACACCGATTTGCTTGTGTCTCTTTGCCGGCCCTTCCGTCCCCTCGCTTGCCATGTGGTCTGGATTCATGACCATGTACAGTGCCGGAGCTCCGAGGGTGCTAGGATGACCGCAAGGTCCTTTTGGGCCAATAGGCCCCTGTCTCACTCCTGAATTTACTGCACGCATTTTTGGGACGCGCTGCCCCGAGTCGCTGCGGTGACCTGCAGCCCGACAGTCCGACTTCAATCAAAATACTCTCCTGCGTTGCAGGATTTACTGCCAGGGCATGGGAATCCTGGAGATTCGGGCACGCGCCTTTGCACTCCCAAGTCAACAATCGTGAAGCTATCTGCACCATATTACCTGGTGTGTTATATACTACGCATTATGCATTGTATGAACATTCCAGGCCAGACCCCGAATGCCGGCAAGGCCTCACCAAGAGCTTTCCAGAGGCCCGTCTGTACCAAGGCTTGCTGGTGCTCTGCCGCAGAGGACATGCCTGGTTCAGGGTTTGGGTTTAGGGTTTAGGAGTTTAGGGTTTAGGAAGGGTGCGACATGCAGAGCTTTCGCACTTCGGATCTGGGTACTTGGTTCCAGTGTTCTGTCGGCATTCGATTCCTGCGTCCAGGCTTGCTGATCCATGTCAGTCAGACTGCACGCACCTTTTCAAAAGCAAATCTTTCACAAGATGTTTAGACGTCGGGTTGAAGTGGAAGAAAACACAAGTTCTGGGTGGAGCGCTGTCCCAAAAGACTCACCAGCATCAAAGGTGGGCCAGTGCCGGAGGCATGCTTAAGCGCAACCCTGGAGAAAAAAGCGTTGCAACCAAGGCACTTGAACATATCCAGTTATCGGCCGACTGGTTAAGACAACCAGCAAAAAAACATTTTGCTTTCTGACATGCTAGTACACGCCATAGCAAAGAACTCGCGGCATACCGGTAGCAGACTCGAAGTAGTGAGGCAGCATCAGTGCTAGTAGATACAGTAGTCGCTGTGGTAGTAGTTGTTGTCGTCGGCATCGTCGTCGAAGCAGTAGAAGCAGAAGAGCAACAGTAGCAGCAGCAGCAGCAGGAACAGCAGCAGCAGCAGCGGCGGGGGTGGTGGTAGTGGTGGTGGTGGTAGTAGTCGTGGGAGTATTAGCAGTAGTAGCAGTACCAGTAGCAGCAGCGGTTGCTGCTGCTGTAGCAGCAGCAGCAGTACAAAACGCGTTGGCTGCCAGCAAATGCTGCTGCTGCGCTGCGGAAGTACTAGATCCTAGCACTATGTTCAGAACATGAACAACACTTTTCACGTCTGATCTTGATTGCTATGTAGCATGGAGGTGGTAAGATATCACACCCTGAACGGTATTAAACTCAATTACAGGGCTGGAATACATTCCTGTATCCAGGCCCTCATCAAAAGATTACAAACTCTTGCTTGATTCGAGGCGCCACCCTGCTACTTCGGTGGGGCAGCTTGCTTCAGGACCTGTTGGGTGTTCCGAGAACTTTGTGAATAACAAGTCGGGCGGCCAAAAGGATCCAAGTTGTCCCGGACGGTGCCGGCGAACAAAAACCTGAGCAAAAGAAGGGTGATGGAAAGCTTCGGGCAGAGACATCTTCTGCCTTAATTTGTGCGCAACGACTGCACTCTCACCTGTGAAGACCCGTGAAAGAAGTGTTATATAATATAGAAGTACATACGTAGAAACAATAAATAAATACATGTATTACATGTATATACACACAGCTCTTCTCTTCGGCCCTTTACCTTTTGTTCTATCTATGTATCTATCCATCTATCTACCTACCCATCTCTATGGATGTATATATATATATATATGGATACACGTAGATATGTATACATACATGCACACACACACACACGAGACTTTTCTTTGTAAAGTTGGCCTGGTCAGCAGGAAGTGACTCGTGGAAAAAGGGTGCTGAGTAAGACTGAAGACCCAACTCCGCTTGTGGGATGGTAGCGAACTTCTTGTGAGGATCATGTGGCCATCCATCTATCTGTGTGTCTGCATCCACCTGTATGTATCGACCTGTCTATCACTATCTGACTTCCTACCTCTCCTGGCATCGCTTATCTAACCGTGCATGTCTATCTATCCCTTTGGCATGATAAATGCAAACATATACATACTTCTAAAACAGCAAGATCGAAGCATCGTAACTTTTAGAGGAGGCGCTGAGGCTTCGGCAATAACCAAGTCAAGCTTTACCCAGTCCCAGCAGGGTTCCAAGTTTGATCAAAAGGGCAAATGAGACTCTGTCACCTCACCAACCAATCAACAAACAGAATAAAACTCACCACAAAAACTCTCACGGGTGGTACATGTTGAAGATGGAGACGCTGCAATCCTGGATCGTCTTCGAGCCCATACAATATGGATCCCAAGACATACGACCATTCCCGACACCCTCCTGCCAACCATCTACAGTACGGCCGGCCACATCCCTCAACAGCCAGATCCTGCAGCTGAAACCACCCAGCCCAGCCAGAAATGCCATGCTCTCAGGTTGTGACGGATCCTGCGGGATGATCGCTACCGCATGGCTCCTCAGGAGCTGTAGAGGGACTTGCGCCAGATCCTGCGGAGTTGCATCCCAAGCCTATATATAAGGGCTCTTGGCGGGCCTTCGGCTCTATAAACGGCTACTATACATGAGGTTTTCTATATACGGACAACTCTACATCTGCACCTGGACAAGGCCTTGACAATCGCTCGAATCCGACAACTTGCTGCACCGAGGGCTTGAAAGGGCACGACGTGGTGACCAATGCTTTCTCAAGTAGTGCTTCCACTAGCCTTGCAACTTCTACACCCTCAGAATATTCAGGAACTGACATCAAAAGGCCTACTCATTCCACTAGGCGCAGCCGGTTCTGACAGTCATCTCCGACAAGCCATTCTTAGGATTTCAGGCTAGCAGGATTCGTTGGAATGCCTGGGCTGCTCTGGAAGCCAAGCAAGTACACACTCCCACATACCCGCTCGTAGATATGTATGATGTGCTTGAGCCCCCTTACTATGCAGATGTGACCACATGGCCAAGTTCACGGGAAAAGGAGGAACTCGGCAAAAGTGGTCGAGTTCAAGGCTTGTGGGCCGAATCGACACATTGAGGATGTATAAAGAGGTGTCTCAAATTCGCGCAGCTGGACTCTACTACCATTCAACTGCACTCCGGCATTGCATGAAGTAGCTTGTCCTGGCCATCGATCAGGATTCGGCCTCTAACAGACAGCTTGGCATTCAGGAAAAGACTTCGCGATCGAACTGCGAACAAACACAAAAGCCGCTTCTTGACTACGAAAACGACTGACGTCGATTGCTGGCTCGGATGACCAACGACAAGATGGCAGAATAGTCATCCCCAAGATGTCTCCAGACCAAATCTGACTCTAGAACCGCCCCCCTCGATCATCACCGATCTTTGCAGCCGACTACGTCAGCTTTCAGGGGCTCCGAGGTGCACAAAGTCACAGCTTCCGAAAAACTATGAAGTGCAATAGGGTCTTGGGTTTAGGGGTTTTTTAGGGTTTAGGGCTTAGGTTTGTTTAGTGCTTCTAGGGTTTAGGGTTTAGGGATACATTATAGTCTTGCCCTTGGGCCAACCTCCTGCGAGCTCCACAAGGCGTAGAAGGGCGCCCATGCCTCAGCTGTGCCGCAGTCTTCTCGTAATCAACGATGGGTGTTCACTGTCACTTCCGCTTGGCCTTAGACCCATCTGTAAAACGGACTGCAGTCATTATTCTTCCACCAAGAGAGAATGGCTCTTTGCCAGCTCTTGGGGCCAGACAAGTGGATTTGCCAGAGCCTGTCCGCCCGACGATGCCTGCCCGCTGTCCGGCGAGGACTCGGAAAGACACACCATCCAAGACCTTGCAAGCACGGTGGCTTATTGGGTTTCGACGGTTTAGGGTAACTCAGAGAGTGTGCTGAAGCAAGACTCCCCGCAACAAAAAGCTAGCCGAATGGAAGCTTTGCGTTTATCCTGCGGAGTTTACAGCCGCACACAGGGCGAGCAGCTTAGACTACACATTCTGAGTAGTGCTCCGAGCTGCGAGGGGGAGGTGAGGGCGGTAGCTGAGCTTCACATCCTCGAAGACGACCTCGCCTTTACTCGGCCAGGATGCAGCAGGTGCAGGGGCATCGGAAGTCTCCACCTGTTCGCAACTCAACCGATCTGTTTCTGACTCGTGCTCGACAAATCTTGCTTGCCCAGCCTCTTGGGGGACCTTGTTGAAATGCTGCCTGAAAGGCCAACACGAGGCTGTTCTTGCACAGCGGCCGAAACCATCGAAAGCGAGAGAGACAGAGTACACGTTTCCCCGCTTTGCCGCAGAACCAAACAACAGTCCAACAGGGCTTGAGAAATATCCGCCTCAAGCAGTCTGTCGGAATCCACAACACCGAATCTCGGAAGAATGAAGGCGTCGGTGTGGAATCAGAAGGGTTAATTGCTTCGGCAATCAACCCCAAAAAGGTCCAAGACACAAGCGCTCTACAGAGGTGAAGTTGTTCTCGACTTCTGCAGAAAACCGAATAGTCCTGGGAAAATGTGAGCAGCTGGACTTTCTGAGGTTTAATTTGAGACAGAATACGTTCATTGAGTCCGAATACGCAATATGCAAGCCTCATGTGATGAGAGAAGCCATCTCGGCTTGCAATGTAGCATGTTTATACGAATATATACGTTATATACGAGTACTCCTACGAGTAATCATACTACTACGACTACGAATACGAAATAATACGAAATAATACGAAATACTGAAAATTGGTCCCTGGGATATAAGCCTGGCGTCTGGTGCAGTCGACCAATGAGCCCCGCGGCGGCAGAGAGACCGAGGCCAATCAATGAAGTTTCGAGGCGGTTGCCCAACACCACAACCTCGAGTTTCTGTGTGGTTTAGGTTTTAGGGTTTAGGGTTTAGGAATTTAGGGTTTAAGGGGGAATTGGATTGAGGGGAAAGCTTGTGACGAGTCTTTTGATGCTTGGATGTCAAGAACGCGTTGTAACAAATCCAGCGTTTTGGAATCAAGGATGTTGGATGGCACGGCCTTTTTCAGCTTGAGGGGTCTCAGACCACTCAGGCAAATAAGCTCCTAGCCAGGTCAGTTCCACACGAAACCTCCGACCGCTTCTGATTCGGTCTGCTATGTAAATAATCCAATACCTGCAAAGACAGTAAAGACACAGGTGAAGGCGTACAGAAATAACGGAAAAAACGCTGAACCAGTACTGAACCGTCCTGAATTGTTCAACATGCATATTGTTCGGGTAAGCCCGGGTTTTGTCGTACGTCCGAGACCCCAGCCACACCTGCCATCACGGACACGAAAAGGGCGGCTAAGCCGTTCCTTGCATCTTCAGACTTGCTCAGCGTCGGCATAGGGAGACTGGGCTAGGCATAGATCTGGGGCCGTGGGCGAGCGGTTTGTACACTCGCGCGTGTGATATGCATATGGGCGGCACATCTCTTTTCGGCGAACCCAGACTCTCAGCCTCATGTCTCAGATGCAAGCTCAGACTCATCCGCAGGACATTGAAAGGCACCAGCGAGTGCAGGTGGAAGAACATCCTGCAGCAGCAGCGGCTAGGCCCGGGGGTGAGGAGATCTTCCAACAACAACACAGAATGTGACCAAGACTAAGTGACTAACTATTCCTCAGGGTTTTTTGATATCTAAGGCCTCTACAAGACGCCCACCTCCCTCCCATACTACACTTCATCAGCATTGATTCGGACGGGATGACTGTTTTTTGCAACACGCCCGCAGTTTACTCTATGCTATGTAGACCTGGAAAGCCCAAGAAGCTGTAGTGAGCCTCAAAGCACCCTTATAGCGACCCCTAAACAACCCTTGTAGGATAACGTTGGCGTTCCTGTTGTTCTCATCCACCTTCGCCTCGAAATTTCGCAGTGCACCTCGAGTGTGCCGGAGGCTGGGCTTTTAGGTCGGGAATCACAGGGTGACGTAATCCTTCAGGTTGTTCTGGTGCTGTAGGCATTGCCGGGTGGCTTTTCTCCAATCCGAAGGCTCGGAGGTGGACCAAGCCACTAAGAAGCTCTTGGAAGTCCACGTAGAGTGGGCTCCTGCAGTCAGTGGCTGTGGTCTCAGCGCATCTCAGGCCGGATGGAGTACCAGCGGAATCCTTCGTTCACGACCGGCCTCACACTGAAAATGAAAGATGCCGACCCAAGTAAGAGCCATCATAACACGGTCCTTGACACAGATTCCAATCGCTTCAGTTCTCGTGCGCTCGATGTGTAGTACCTGCAGGCAGGGGTCGCGCACCTTTTATCTCTACTCGCTCCTTCTATGGGGCATTGACCAGGCCTCCGTACGTAGACAAACATGATGCACAGCGGCGCCAGGCCCAGGAGTGCAAAGGGAGACACAGTCACGCAGACTGCTGCGCTGGCGATGACGTAAGACAAGCTTGTGAGGAACTCCGCCATGTAGTCCTAGTGCAGCAATCTTACAGTGTCTTCTCAGTCTTGCTGCTTGACAGAACCTTTAGATCGAGGTCAAAGATCAGTGGCCACACGACAACATCGATCTCTCGATTTCGAGGAGTGCATTGGATGCGTAATTACTAATAGGCAAGGCCATATCGCATCCGGACTTCTCCATACGGGCACCAGTCAGCTACCGTATCTAGGGTTTTTGGTCGATGATGGTATAATCAAATCAAGGAACCCTCTAACCCTCTGGAATAATCAGATCAACCCAAACCCGGAAACCCCGAAGCCCGGAACTCCAAACGTGCTGGTCCAAGCGGCTGGTAGCTGAGAGTCCATGGCATCCAGATCTCTTGAGAAGCGATTCCTGGGATGGTGTCAGACGTCTGTTCCACAAGTCAACGATATAACCTCGACCCCCTTCTCGCGATGCCCCTGCGTGTTCTTACCCGGTATCTCCGTGTGTGTTTCCCTACTTGTCCAGTATCATGGGGAACTAAAGGTTCACCTTGTCGATTTCTTGGGATTCTAGTACCCAAAAAAAGGTTAACGGCTACCTGCGCTACTACTCAGCTTCTCTCGCAAGATTCAGGATGCGGCCCGCCGGGACGACATCGAAGAAGAGTGGAGCCGAAGCTCGCAGGACCTTCTGCACCATGTGCGTGTGGGTTCCTGCTGCGATGCGGACAATGATCATGGTGAACCTTAGATCGTGGGGCGTAGGGGTTGGAGCTGTAGGGTTTAGGGGTGTGTTGTGGTTCTGGAGTTGAAGTTCTATCGGAGATCGACAAGGTATTGGGGGCTTAATTAGGGTTTAAGGGCTTGTAGCCCGCCCTGTGACCTCTGGCGACAGCAAGAAGAACATGCCAAAAACACCCGAGGCACACCACGGCACGCAGAAGGCACACGAGCATGAGCAGGATTACTATGCCTCCGTACCCCCCGAGCCAGAAGGGAAGATCTCCGGCGGACACTCCATCGGCTTCAGTCCAGAGCGTGACCCAAATCTCGGTAAATGTACGGCACACCTCCGCCAGGACCACCAGCAAGCAAACAAAGGCGAAGAGCACAGCGCCCTGGATCAAACTCCCCCCAGAGGTTGCTTGGCGGAAGTAGCTTGCATAGGCAGTGAGACTCAAGATGCCAACCTGCCTCTCCTCTGCGATCAAGAGGGAACCATCCAGACCTTTTCCGGCAGCGACGGGCGCTTCCGAGGTGGCGCTGGGAAGCGCAGGCTTCGTTTCTGTTTGGGCCTCAGCGCAGCTTCCCATGGTCCCTGCAGCCTCTCGCAGCCACTTGCTGGAAGCCATCGCCTCGTCTGGCGGCGCGATGGTGTCCACTACACCTCCGGGACCGAGCACGACCACGGACTGGGCATGGGGCAGGAGTAGCGGCAGGAAGGTGTTCGCCACGATGACTCGGGTGCTCTTCTTCAGCACCCCGAGCAAAGCCTCGCTGATGATGGAGGTGGCAACATGGACGTCCACCGCACTGAGCACGTCATCCAAAAAGACTACATCCGCGGCCGGAACGCCGAAGAGGGCCCGAGCCAACGCCACTCTTGCCTTCTGGCCGCCAGACACATTGATGCCTCTCGAGCCGATCTCTGTGGTATCTCCACCCGGCAGAATTGCGAAATCTGGCAGTAGCTGCGCCGCCTGAACGGGAAGCTTGAGGACGGACTCGATGGCCAAGGCCCTCTTAAACTTAGATGATGTCAAACTAGCCTGGTCTTGCCAGCAGTGATTGGCTGTTGGATTTAGTCGGGGGTCGTGTTTTTTGCAAACCCATCCGGGTCCCTCACTCCCCAGAAACACACGTTATTGACGCGCAGTGACAGCTTGACACGTCTGTCAGAATGCACAAGCAAGCACCGAGAATTAACTCTTGACCAGAAAATCCTCAGCCCTAAAGTGCCCATATATGATCCCGGTTCTC